AATTTCAGAAAGGAGCATTTCTGGAAAATAGGAGAGATTGAAGGGGCGTCAGATTAAATTTAGAAAATATTCAAGAATCAGAATTTACAGTTTCGAACATCTAATTCTCAGAATTTCAGGATTTTTGAATTCTTAGAATCTTGAAATTGCAGAATTTCAGATTTTTAGAACTTCGAAATGATGGCATTTTACAATTCTAACATTTAAAAGTTTCAGAATTCCAGAATCTCAGGATATCGAAAGCTTTGAATCTCAGAATCTCAGAATCTCAGAATCTCAGAATCTCAGGATCTCAGAATCTCAGAATCTCAGAATCTCAGAATCTCAAAATCTCAGAATCTCAGAATCTCAGAATCTCAGAATCTCAGAATCTCAGAATCTCAGAATCACAGGATCTCAGAATCTCAGAATTTCAGAATCTCAGAATTTCAGAATCTCAGAATCTCAGAATCTCAGAATCTCAAAATCTCAGAATCTCAGAATCTCAGAATCTCAGAATCTCAGAATCTCAGAATCTCAGAATCACAGGATCTCAGAATCTCAGAATTTCAGAATCTCAGAATTTCAGAATCTCAGAATCTCGAAATCTTGAAATCTCGAAATCTTGGAATCTCAGAATATCGAAAGCTTTGAATCTCAGAACCTCAGAACCTCAGAATCTCAAAATCTCAGAATCTCGGAATCTCAGAACCTCAGAATTTCAGAATCTCAGAATTTCAGAATTTTAGAATTTCAGGGTTTCATAATTTTATAATTTCAAAATCTCAAAAAACCGATTCAATAGAGAAACTTGCGGCCAAATTTTTAAAATAGAGAAATTTTTGTATCATTTAAAAAATCAAAATTTTCCGTTTATTTTTAACATTTAGCTCCACAACTGCGCTCTATTTCACAAAACTTCTCAAGCTTGAACACCTAACATTTAGCTCAGATTTCAGTCAACAATATTAACTAGACCTTGCATAAAAAATTGTCTTCGAATTTCACAAAAAAAGTAAACAGGTTTTTGTCGCAAAAAACGAGAATTATTTGAGCAAACGAAAGTTACTCAAGCAATAATAGTAGGGTGGTCCACCTCTTTTCGTCCCTTAGAAGTAAAAGTCAGCAGAGAACAAAAAAATGAAAAAAAGAAGAAGAAAGAAACTACTTCTTCTGGTTTTGTGTTAGAAAAGAGGAACAAAAAAGGTGAGCACTTGTTGCAAGAAGAGTTTGCACTTTTGGATTTTTCAAAGCGAAATTTTGTAAAAAAAAACTATTTTGTAAGATTTGGGATTTTCAGATGCCTTGTTTGGAATTTGGACGAAAGAAAGCAGAGAAAAGGGAGTAGAAAGGAAGAAGAGGAAAGAATGCAATTAGGAATAGAAAAACACAATTATCTATGGCTTAAGAACGGAAATAGAATGGGAAGAAAGTGTGCTCCATTGGACTTTTTTTAAGGGTTTGGGTGGTTTGAAAATTCTAATTTTTTCCTAGTTTACCTTGAGGATTTGACATTTCATAGGATTTTAACCTTGTTTCCTGTTTTAGATGACGGCTTGTCTACACAAGCCGTCATTTTTATGATCAATTATCTCGCTTCCTATAAGAGATATCAAAAAAAAATTCAAATGATAAAATGTTCATCATAATATCACCAATATTTTATCAGTTGAAATATTTTTGAAACCTCTCATAAGAACCGAGATAATCGAGCACAGTTCCGGAAGTTTCTAAAAAAGTTTTTTTCTAGGTCATCCTATTTTTTTACTCACGAGGACCTTCTATTAGGACCAGTCAACGCACTTCTTTGTTCCTTTTACTTATTTTTCCATGTTTTTTGTTCACAATGAGTTTGCTCAAGGGGAACTAAAATTGTCCATCAAAATGGGAAAAGACAAAAAAGTGCATTAGCAGTTTTCTGATGTGTGTGGTCTCAAAAAATTAGTCGTCAGAATCTGAGCAACCTACTCAGAATCTCAGAATCGCATAAATTCAGATCTTAAAACTTTAGGACCATAGAATGTTGGGATTTAAGAATCTCAGGATCTCAGAATCTCAGCAAATCAGAAACTCAGAATTTCAGAATCTCAGAATCTCAGAATTTCAGAATTTCAGAATTTCAGAATTTCAGAATCTCAGCAAATCAGAATCTCAGAATCCCAGAATCTCAGAATCTCAGAATCTCAGAACTTTAGAATCCTAGAATCTTAAAATCTTAGAAACTCCGAATGTAATGACCTCGGAGTCTCGGAATCTCCAGTTACCAGAATTTCATAATTTTAAAATGTTTGAAAAATCGAAATTTCTGAACCAGAACTTCTTATCAAAAATCGAACATCTATTTAAAAACCAGTTTATCCAGACTGGCAGCTGTTGCTCCTTGATGCAATTTGGTTGATGTACATCCTCTGATTCTCGAACTTTTGGAAAAAAGACTGAAGCAAAGAGCTCAACAAAATTGAGGAGCCAAAGAGTTTCTAGTAGAGCAAAGGGAATAAAACAATGGCTCCTCTCTCGTTTTTTTCTATTTAGAGAAGTGGTCAGTAAAATGAAAAAAGGAGGAAATTTAACTTTGGACAGAAAGTGTGTACCACTTTCGATTTCCAGAAAATTGAAGACGATTTTTCATTAAATTCTATTTTTGGAACTTTTGAAAATTGGAAATTAAACCATTTCATTCAAATTGAATGGATCTGAACTTTTGGATTTGGATGATTGCTAACTCAAAGAATTTCCATGAAAAGAGGAATTTCAAAAAAGAAAAAAAATATTTTTTTTTTCGAAAAATTGAAGCAGGAAATGATATTTTTCGAAATACACGACCATTCTTCTGATATCCAGAAATATCAGATTTCCCACACACGCACACACACACACACACACACACGAAGATAATCCTATCTAGTTTTTGTTCTCCTTATGAACTCAAAATGATAAAAATATCAGTAAAAAACTTGAATCCTAAAATATTAGAATCTAGAAATATACCGTAAAACCTGTATTAGAAAGGCCGGCTTTCGTGGGGGCCCTAGGGGGGCACTTCAATTAGAGGGGCCCTTCAATTAGAGGGGGCACTTGTATTTTTCGTGAGGTTTCTGAGCAGGAAATTTCTATTAGAAGAACAATGTTTTTCGGGGAAAATGTTGTTTTTTCTACTTAAAACTCTTGAAAATTATTTTATAACGACCTTATAATACAGGTTTTACGGTATATCAAAAAATTCAAAACTCGAAAATTCGAAAAACCAAAAATTCAAAGATTCAGAGATTCAACAACTCAAAAGTTTAAAAGAATTCGAAAACTCAGAAATTCGGAATTTCAGATTTTTTCAATTTTAGATTCAATAATTTTGAATACTTAAAATTTTCAGTCCTCCAATCTCCAAATTTAAAAACTTGAAAACTTTGAAAATGCAGAATAAAAAATTAACACATTTCAAGAAGGATTAAAAGCTATTTTGACTTTTTTTTGATTCTAGAAAGTAAAGAATTCTTTTATTCTGGTTTTTATCATACTTGTAAAATTCCGGGCCGACCCGCCAAAGCCCGGGCCGGGCCTGAGGAAATTTTCAAGGCCCGAGCCCGGCCCGGAAGGCCCGGTAGCAAAATTTTTGTCATTTTGAGCCAAATTTCGAGCTCTCAATACAATTTCCTCCATTATTTTTTGTGTTTTTGGATTGTTTGTCTGTTTGATCAAAAAATATTTTTAAAAACTCGAAAAAAATTTTTGATCGAAAAAAAATCACATAAGGGTCCCCCCTTATGTGTTTTTTAAAATTTTCAAAACTTGTGGAATGACAGGCCCGCCGGGCCGGGCCTCCGAAATTCGGGAAAAAGCCCGGCCCGGCCCGTTACAAGTATGGTTTTTATGAACAAACTTGAACTATTAAAAGTTAAGAAATATCTTCAGATTAAAAATACGGCCCGGTAAACGAAAATACAAGAAGTTAACAACCTTAAATTCTTCAATAGAAACTTACCCTATATGTGCATTTTGAGCTCAATTATCTCGATTCATATAAGAGATATTAAAAATTTGTAATAAAATTTTTATCATAATGTAAACAATATTTTATCTGTTCACCAATTTTTGATATCTTTTATAGGAATTAAGAATATTGAGCTTACAAAATATAATATGAATATTGAACTTACAGTGCACGTATAGGGTTGACCTCCATTGGAGCATTTACGGAATAAAACAAACCACGCCCTTCCGAAGCTTAAACTCCTGGCCCACGTGTGTGGGATTTCCTCGTCCTCGCTGCCCACCACGATTTACTGCGGTGAAATCAAGGAAAGTCTCCAGAAGACTTCAAAATCAAAATTTCGAAAAAAGAAAAGTTCGGGCATCAACTGAGACACACTTCTGACCTATCTTCCAGGTTTCAGCTCAATCGGTTAACTTTGTACGAGGGAAAAGGCACGCTACATACATATGTACATACAGAATTTGGTGAATGTTATTAGTAATGATACGAAACACTAACAACCCAATAAAACCGAACTTTAGACTTTTGTTAAAAATTGTCGTTTTTTTTCAAAGAATAAATCTCTGCCCAATAGTAAAAAAGAGAAGTCAAAGACTGCAATTTGAGAGTGGAGCCTGTTTCCGGTTTGGAATTTGAAAATCGAGAAAAAACGACTGGAATGTTTTCCTTCTTCCAGATGTTTTTTTTCTCGGCTCCTCATTTTTTCAGCCAGACTGAGTTTCAATTTTCAGTCAGACGGGTCACCCTGGCGTATCAAAATTTCAAAAAGGTATCAGTTTCCAAAATAAAAGGTCCGAAATTTTTTCATTTCGCCGACAGACAAACTACAAATTATTTGCGGAAGTCTAGTCTGGAGCCCCGTCGTACCTCGTGGTAGGGTTCGATTTGGTGAAAAAAATCCGTAAAGTGTGTGTCACTTCCCGAAAAAAAGGTACCGCCCGTTTCCGTTTTTTTTTCCAAAAACGGCCTAACAACACAATGAATATTAGAGTAAAACACACACGGGGGCGTACTACTCACCTATATAAATTTATGAATTCTTTCTTGTTTTCTTTTTAGTTTCGGGAAAATAGAAAGTAGTAGGAGGTGTTGTTTTTGGGAAACGAGAAACTGCAATTTTTGGAGCATTCTGGAAAAAAGGGTTATTCAAATACGGAAACTATGTGGAACTCACTATTTGTAAACTTTGAGCAAATGAAAAAAGAATCCCGTTTGTGTGAAAATTTGATCTGAAAAAAGTGTATTAGAAAGTTTTTCAAAAGTTTTTTAATTTGAAAAATTCCGAAAATTCTAAAATTCTAAAAATTCCAAACATCGGGAAACACCAGAAAAAAAGTCCGATATTCCGAATTTTCAGTGTTTTCCAAAATTCGAAAGTTCAAAAAAAAATTCAAAATTCCTAAAATTCTAAAATTCTAAAAATTCCAAAACTGAGATTAAAGGTGGGGGGACATGAAAAAAATAATGTTCTCGAAATTCCGTTCAAAGATGCCCCTCGAGGAGTTGAACTTGTGAGGGCGTTGATTGAGGGTGCGGCGCCGCTACCGACTGAGCCACGCGGGCAAAGAGAAAGCCGCTGCCCGATTGCATACATAAATGCGAGAACGACAGCTGTACGCAGAGTGACATTAAGCGTTGTACACCGTGACGGTAGAATGCATACTCTAGCTACAAAAAAACTACGAAAAATCTCCTGTCCCCCCACCTTTAACGAAGAAATCCAAAGAATTACATCAATAGTGTTCAGAATTCCTCTGTTTTCCGAATTTCGAATTCTGAGATTTTGAGATTCCGAGAACCTAAGTTTCTGAATTCCTGAATTTCTGAAATTCGACCTCAATGAAAATTCTAATATCACTCACCAATAAAATTACAGATTAGCGATAATGTGCGGCACTATCAGACCACAAGTAATCACAGTGATAAATGCAGAGAACACGTAAAGACACAGTCTATCCACAGCCATTGCAGCGAACCTCCATTCCGACCGCAACTGAAATAAAGAAGAATGAAAGAGATGAAAAAGAAAAGCAATAACCATTTCTTCTTTCGAGTCCTCCTCAATCTTGTTCACCATCTTTTCAATATCTTTTTCAATGATCAAGAGCTCCGAGCAGATTCTCGACGTATTTTTTATGATGGCTGGTACTTCTGAAGACAGATATTATTGATTTAAAGAGAGGAGAAGCGGGGAAGTCATAACATAACATTTTTGAAATCAAACTATTTTTGTCAAATACCGTAAAACCTGTATTAAATAGGCACCCCCCCCCCTGTCAAGTTTGAGCTTGAATATCTTGGCTTTTATAAGAAATATAAAACATGCTCCCTATATGAGCTCAATTATCTCGGTTCCTAGAAAAGATTTCACAATATTGTCCACTGATAAAATGTTTTTGATTTTATGATAAACAATTTGCTAGTTGAAAGCTTTTTTACATTTTCAACAGGAACCCGAGACAAATTCGCTCAAAGTTAGAAGTTAGGGGGAATTTCTGTTACCGGTTTTACGCTAATTTTAGTTAGTTCACAAAATTTGGAAATAGTAGTTTCCTTTAGATTTTTTCTGTTTAAAAATGATAAAATTTCATACCGTGGTATACAAAGACACTGCGATCCGGAAATTGTGTCTGTGAGACTCTAGGAAGATTCAGCATTGGAATTGTCGATAACCGATGGATTGGAGCAATCGATTTGCCGAGAACTTTTGGTTTCGGCGTTTTTGGGTGATCTGGTTTACACATACAAAGAATATAGGGGAGCCAGTCGATGAAAATTTTTCGCATCTAGAAGAAACGACTTTGAAGGGACATGTTTGCGATAGCATTTTTAGATAGCTCACCGTTGGGCTCATTTCATGAGTTTCTGGTTTTCGATGATGTAGGGATAATGTTAAGACTGTGAAGACACAGGAACACGCAACCAGCATCAAGCAACAGGAAAAAAATGCCGCTGAAAAGTTAGAATAAATTTCTGAAAGTTAATACCGTAATTGCTCCCTATACGCGCATTTTGTGCCCAATTATATCGGTTCCTATCAAACATGCGTCAACTGTTAAAATGTTGGTGATATGATAAACGTTTAATTAGTGGACAGATTTTTGGTATCTCTAATAGGAGTTGAGATAATTAAGGCCAAACTTGACAGTGTGGGAACTCTTCTATTACAGGTTTTACAGTAAAACATTTCGAAGTTCAGATTGTCGAGAATTCCGAAAAATTCGAAAAACCGAATTTCCCATTTCAGAAGAATCGGGGTTTAATATTCATAGCTATTGTCTATTCAAAACAATCGCACGAGTGAACGAGTAAAAAAACGTGTAGAGAGCCCTCAAACCTGTAAAGGTGCTGTAGAGACGCAGGTTTTTTACTCGTTTACGTGTGCGATTATTTTGAATAGACATAGTGAGGATCTTCGCTAGTGAGGATGTTTCCTAATGAGGACCTTTCTTAATCAAGACACTTATCTGTGAGGATTTTTCTTAATTATGATTTTTTACAGCGAAAATCCTTGTTACTGAGGATTTCTCTTAATAAGAATCTTTTCTAACAACTGTCTCACTATCAGTTCCTATTAGAGAGAGATATCATTATTTTTTCAACTAATAGTGTTTATCGTGTTATCACCAACATTTGATAAGTTGACTTTTTTTTATACCTCTCTTAGGAACCGAGATAATTGAGCTGAGAGTGAATTTACGATAATTAAAAATTTACCGAGAATAGGAACACTTTGAGATTGTGGGGGACTTGTGTTCGAGACCATTTGAAGAAAAAAGATGACGGAGAGGAGGACGGTGGTTTCTGAAAATATGAAAAATTAAAAGATTGGAAATATCAAGTACAAACAAACCCAAAGTAATCTTTTCACAAGCATCTGGTGGAAGGGTGAATCCCAAAATAGTCATCATCGAAATTACTAGAGATGGAATTATCAAATTGATTCCGTATGCCAAGGTTCTTCGACGAATATGAATGTAGAAGTAGAGCTCATGGTATTCGTCGGTACCGAATTTCTGAACAACTCGTTTCCCTGAAATAATAAAATAAAATAAATTCAAGGTCATGGCCTATTAGGAAAATCCAAGAGATTCTAGATCATGGCCTAGAAAAGCTACGTCATGGCTTAGAAAAGCTACGTCATGGCCTAAAAAATCTAGGTCTTGACATGAAAAATCTAGGTTATGACATAAAAAATCTAGGTCGTGACCTAAAAAATCTAGATCATGACCTGAAAAATCTAGGTCATGACCGGAAAAATCCAAGTCATGACCTGAAAAATCTAGGTCACGACCTAGAAAAATCTAGTTCACGACCTACAAAAATTTAGGTCACGACCTGAAAAAATCTAGGGTATGACCTAACAAATCTAGGTCACGTCCTAAAGAAATCTAGGTCATGACCGGAAAAATCCAAGTCATGACCTGAAAAATCTAGGTCACGACCTAAAAAAACCTAGGTCACGACCTAAAAACATTCAGGTCAAAAGTAGAAAATCTAGGTCAAAATATATATTACCCGGCGTCCCTTCCAGATCCCATTCTCCGTTCTGAAGATAAACTTGTAGATCAATCGATTCATTCACAAAATATGACGCCGAGTTCGTAGAAGAACGTTCTGGCTCCACTATGATTGGTTTACCGTGTAATCCTGGAAATTTTCTAGACTTAACAAAGTTCGCTCTATCGCCAATTCACCAATAATTTCTCTCAACAGAAAATCCAAATTGATATATTGGCCATTGTAGGTCCATGATCCTAATTTTAGGAAACAAGTCTGACGATCAAATGGGTAGTAGGTGACGTCGATCTGAAACTTCTGGTGGACTAGGAAAATAGAGGAAAAACTAGTCCACGAATATACCTGACAAATAAATCTAAAAATTCCAGGTGGGTTTTGTTGAACATCGCCGTTAGAAGACACGATGAATCTAGAGGAATATGTGGAGTCAAATGATTCGGAGACACTGAAAAATAAAAATTCAAAAAGTTTCGAACAAAATTTAAAACCTGTTGAATAGCAGTACGTCTGGTCTCCATAACTTGAAACTTGCATCGTCGTCTCCTGAATTTATGAATACTTTCAGCTCAATTATCTCGGTTCTTATCAGAGATATCAAAAACTTATTAACTGATAAAAAGTTAGTCATAGTATGATAAATAATTTATCAGTTGACAATATTTCGATAGCTCTTGTAGGAACCGGGAAAATTAAGCTCAAAGGTGATAGGCAATACGGTTAATCGGAGAACGACTAACCTGAAAATCTGACATCTCGAATTCCTCCAAACATTTTGGGATCCCATTTCAACTTGTAATCGTTCCAATGCTAAAATTTTCGATAGTTCTAATTTTTATTCCAAAAACTCACATAATCCATATACGCTAGAATTGACATCACTTGATTCTTCTCATCAATATCCAAAATTTGATTCAATAAAAATCGGACTTGTACGTCTAAAGGGGCGGAGCTATTTTCTACAGGACGTTCGAAAGAGTCATAGTTCTGAAAATTGCGCTCTACTGATAACTTTTCAAAACAAAGTGCAAACCTCTTTCAAGTACTGCAGCAACCGATACTCATCAACACTAGCTCGAACATCATAAAAAACATAAAAAGCAAATAAAAATCGAAGAGACATGAAACCCATTTTGATGTCTTCCGTTTAGAAAAGTAAAGAATACAATGGAAAGGAGAACACATTGAAAAGTAGAAGGAAACGGGGGAGATTAGTTGACTGATCCCCCCTAGGGACCAAAAAAGAAGAAAGAGAGGAGACTCACTTGACAAATAGATACTTACGATGTGTTTGTTTGAGGGTGCCCCCTATCGTTTTGACGAATTGAAATGTTTATGCATGTTCTAATGATAAAACAATTTCTTGAGAGCATTTACGGTACCAGTCAATATGGTATAAAAAACTTATCTTGCAGTGGATTTTCTGTATTTTCAGGAGCCTGAGCTGTCAAATTTCCGATCAGTTTGAAAATTTTGGAGGATGTAAAACAGACCTATTGAAATTTATGAATTCACTGAATTCTTTGAAATTCTCTAGTTTTTCAGCTATAAGACAGGTGTCGCAAATATCACAGACTATTTGTGCACAACAAAAAAGTTTAGAGACTAATGATGGTTCCGTGGGATATGATTGTTGAAAACTTGTTCCATTATATACTAATTTTTTAAAATTTAGATTTTTTTTGTGAATAAAAAACTTTCAGCTGAATTATGAAGCAATGTTTTGACAAAATATTGGAATCTGAACCACAGGGGCCATTAATTATACGAATGTTCATTTTTCCAGATCTCATTTGTCTCTATCTGGCACTAATTTCAATATGTATTAGTTGTATAATCTCTTATCACTGTTTAATGACATATTCCTTCTTTCCATAAATTCAAATTCAAATAAAAATATTAAGAATATCAAATTATATGACTTTATTATAGAACTGATGAGGTTACAATCACAGAAAAGAAAAGCCTCAAATCATAGAAATTGTCCATATGACTAGGAAAAGCATTGACATGGAAGGCGAACCGCTAGTATCTTCTCCTCTTGTATCAATTTCCGTGGCGTTTCGATCAAGACACAATCCGATTTTCTTCTCACAACTAAATCCATCGGAGCATTCGGAACATGTTTGTCCCTTTTTGTATGCTGGTTCCCCAGCACTGAAAAAAAGCAGTAAGAAAAAACTACCAAGTTTGAGCTCAATTATCTCGGCTCCTATATAACAGACGTTAACTGACTCACGGAGGATAGTACAGACATAGAACAATAGACAACTCAAAACCATCTTTAGTACATCGTGTGTATCCACATCCAACAGATTCGAGATCACCTCTTGCCATATTAGCTGCATGACCCATGTCTGGGCTCCATTTCAGATCCCATACCCCTTTTTGAAATTCGCCAGCGAAAGCGGCAATAGCAGCGAGTCCCTGGAAAATATACCAAACTTCCTCTAGTTGAAGCCTAACCAAACCGTCAACTTTGAACTCAATTATCTCGATTCCTGTGAAAGATATCAAAAAATTGTCAACTGACAAATTAATTATCATAATATCACCAACATATTGTCGGAATTAAAAAAGTGAGAAAAAAGTGTTTGCGTACTTTGATAAAATCGAACATGTGTCAACACAGAACAAGAGCAGAATCGAACTGCGCGAAATTCGAACTGTGTCGGAGTCGAACTGTCCCTAATTGGAACGCTGTTAGCCATGGGGCGCGCTTGCATTTTTCCTTAAATTAGTGACTTTTTCTTGAGAAAACTTAAAAAATATATACGAATCAGTTTTATTGGAATGGAAACAAAAACAACAAAAATATTTTTTTTAAGGAAAAAATAAATTTGCGGGGAAAAAATGAGAAAACAAAAATAATGCAAGCGCGCCCCATGGCTAACAGCG